CGACCGTACATACAGTCATGTGTAAATATGTATTTAAGTACGTGGTCAATGTAAAATATGAAAAGCGGTACCTTTTTCTATAATTAGCTGCCATTTAGCCAAGCATTTGAAAGCGTTCGCGCCAGCATTTTTTCGCTCATGCATTTAACTATACATACACACGTACATGCATACACGTGACTGTAGATATGTATGTAAAAATGCATATATGGTGATTTTGAAACTGTATTTTGGTCATAATGAGCTATTTGCTTGTTTTTACATTCGGCAATTTTCTGCTTCTATGTTTAGAGCGGAGCGAAATCCTAATATAGAAAAATCTCAAGACTTTGCTTTCATAATTTGTGCAATCTTGCACTTGTGAGCTGAAATATTGCTTCATGTTAAAGCTAATCGGCGCTTAGAACACAAGTGAAAATAACGATAAGAAGTATAATATTACCAGCATCACAGTAATACCGTTAAGCACCCGCCATGCTGCTTTCTGATTGGCTTGCTAGCAATGCAGCATGGCGTCGTCGTCTTTTTACGAGGCAATCGTTCGGCCAATCCGAAGTTCTAGACTACGTAGCTTTGACATCTTGACGTAAAGGACATTATGAATTTGCTACCCTTTCGTTAGTGAAGCCAATTGCAAGTAATGTCGTTTGCTAATATATATTTACTATTGTTATACATATATACTAAAGGTTTTTAGGGTCTTATGCAATTACTTACAGGCATGAGCAAGGACTGACATTCGGTATAAATGCGTATCCTCTGTGAGAAATGCCGCAGTCGGTGATGGCCCTCGGCCATGCTCGAATAGTTAAAATTCTAAGTGAATAAATTATTTAAAAACTTTCATCGAAATTGGTGTGAATATAAAATAGCAATCGGCATTAAGAAAGTATTTAGAAGCAGAATGTAGTGTTATTTTGGAAAATTAAATGTAAATGTAATATTTTATTAATTTAATTAAAATAAGTCCGAGATGGTTATATACGAAGCCCTATTTATAAATAATTTTGACTCTCTACACGGTTTTATTTTGTTTACGGGTTTCATTGGGTAAAAAATTTTTTTTCAACAATTTTTTTCTCAAATAAAAAATAAATTTTTTATTAGATTTTTTTTGGTTGCAAACATAAACTATTAACAAGATATTTCTGAAATTTTGGGAAAAAAAATTTAAACCACGACCACCACGATGCCGTTTCCATCAGAAATACAGAATCATCTAAAGTGGAAAAATACGAAGCGGAAAATTTACCGACATTTTTTTTTAGTTGAAATCGAAAAAGAATCCTTTGTCAAAATCTTTAAGAATTGTATCTCAAAGACCTGTGTTCAAATTTATTGAAGAGCGGTTGAGTAGTTTTCGAGAAATCTTGCCAACACACTTAGCCTAGCTACCCTTGACCGCACAAGTTCTCAAGGCTGTATCTCTGAAACTTTTACTCTAATCAACTTGAAAATTTAGGACAATATTCTAAAGGTGTTGTAGTATTTAATAACACAATAAAAAATCCGACTTTTTGAAACCCGTAAACCCATGTAACCCCTTAAGACACTTGAATCAGAGAACATAACATTTTTTTTTTTAAATATGAAATTCTGAAAATATTTAATTTTCTCTACTGCTACAGTCTTCGACAGCGCGTAAAATTTTGCAGATAGACGTACAGTTAAGTCTATCAGGCCTTCAGAGGTGTTATACACTTGCAAGTCAGCAAAAATACGATTTTGTAAATTTTTGTTAAAGACGTATTTTATTAAAAAAAAAATAATAATAATAAAAAAATGTACATTTACAGTAAATTTAAAGGGCTTTAATAATCGGCGATTTATTTCAAAAATCGATCTATAAGAGAACCTACAAAAAAATTTGTGTCTGACGATGAGGAAGATTTTTCTTCTTAAAATCATACGCAAAATCCAACAAAATTTACTACATATTATTATTAACGGCTACTGGTAATGATTGAAGAACTAATCCTAAATTTGGATTTTTGCCAAAAAGGCTTCCAAAAAAAAATTATCTTTAGGTAAAAAAAAACATTGCCGAATTTCGATTATTACCTGACATGTTTATCTATGGAGATTGTTTGAAAATGTTAAGTCGATCGGTCTGTCTGTTTCGGAGAAATTTTCATTATCGACTCTGAAAATAGCGTTTCGAGATAAACGCGTTAATAGCTGTTAAAACCATGATCATATCACTCAAATCAACTCATATAAATTGTTTACCGCACCAATTTCAAATTATCGAAAAGTATACTAAGTTTCACATGAAGTTCGCTGAACGCAGAAGGAACCATCGGGAACCCCATAAAGTATATTCATGTATTCATGTGCGTAAATGATCAGCGTGACGAATTGCGTCGATTAAGCCAAGTTTTTCCATTAGTCAATTCCCCACCTCAAACGTTCGTTTCTTCCCAAGAAGATGCTCATTTGTCGGAATCGCCGATTTGGGGCCGCTATAGATTATATCTGCCATAAAAAGTAAGACTTGTATGAAAAAATGTTTGGATCTATATATCTTCACAAGAAATGCCATGAATTTGTTCAAAGCAATGGAGCCATCTCCGAAGAAATCTTTCATGAAACAACATGATATCCCATTAATTTATATTAAATTTAAGTTTGCGGTAAGGTTTAAAATCGCTAGTGGCTAAAGTGGTATGGAGGAAGAAGAGGTGGAAATATCTAGGCACTTTTTCCTCCAAGTTCAGTCTTTACACAACGATTCTTTTTCCTTTCGGCAAACCAGAAGACAAAGCCGACACTGATATTAGCCATCCCAACAAATTTGTGGAAGCTCAAAGCGCTTCGTCGATTTTAAAAGTCTTTTGATCTCGTATGTGGAAGTTTTTTAAGTACCACAACGCATCTACTCATTCTTAGCTGTTCAAATGCGATCCCTGTTAGGATCGATCTCTTAACCAAAACTAAATTTTTGGTTTTTTCATAAAGTGTGACATAACATCAGCTATCTGCAATTTATAAAAAAATGTTGTTATCATAGTCATCAAAGATAATTATAACAGAATTGCTCAAACATCGACGGGTGACACTACAAGAAATGAAAAATAATTAAATATCAAAGTTCGTTTTCACAATGTCTTAGAACATGTGCTCTATCGAAGAGACAAAATTTTCCCCACTTATTTCCACTGAACAAATGCGCGCTACGTAGCTCCTGCATGTTCATTTGTATATAATTCTTTTTTACAAAAGTTCGATGTTTGCTGTAGCGAAGCCAAGTTGTGTCGCAACTATTTTTCATTAGCCAAATTTAACCGAGAAAGCTACGGATTGGGCACCACTGAATGCTATACTGTTTTCTTAAGAGCTCTTTTAAAAATCAAGGCAGCTGCTTGTACTATATTCCATCACAAACACGTTTTAACTAACTAACTTATATATATTATGTCAAAAAAGTACCCGGAAATTGTAAATAAAACGCAAAACATTCAATTATTCATCAATATTTATTTTGTCGCTTACAAAGTAATCCCCACCCGATGTAATATACTTATGCCAACGGTCTTCGAACACTTTTCATAAGAACTTTTTGGGATTACATTCAGCTCCTTCAGCGAATTTTGTTTTTTCTCTTCGACCGACTGAAAATGGGTTCCACGGACTGGAAATTTCAGTTTAGGAAACAAGAAAAAATCTCACGGCGCCGAATCTGGTGAACACGGTGCTTGATCGATGATATTCTTTGCATTTTTTGCTTTAAATTCGGTCATAATTGTGGCTCATTGCGAAAAAAATTAGCTTTATCGGGACAAGTCATGTAAGAACGTGTTTCATTCACAAAATCATTCCAACAGACTCGCGAGAGAGGTCGAGCTCTCGCTTGCAACTCGTCAGGCAAGCTCCATATACTTCGATTTTTTAATATTTTCATCAGTTGAAGAGGTCGAAGGTCGTCCAGAACGAGGTATGTCTGCAACGCACTTAAACAGCCGCTGTGAAAAAACTGGTTGACAGATTAATTGAGAACAGTCCTACCAACTCAGCAAAGTACATTTATTTGAAATATCATTTACCTGGGGAATTTAGTTACAATTTCCGGGTACCTTTTTCTCTTAATGTGGTATACATACTTTTAATTAATATGTAAATAATATATGTACATATGTATGGATATTTGGATATGTGAGTACGTACCTGCATAAACATATTGAGTAAATATAAATATTTCCATTCACAATTTACAGTAACGCCATCGTGTATCGTGGTGTATTTTTCCAAGCCCAAATGTCAACTAATTGTCACTTTACAATAACCAATTCAAACGCCAATAACAATAACACCGCCATCCGCCCACCCAACGCCCATAACTGCATGAACATTAACGGTACACGCTTTTGAAAATATTTTCGCAGCTGTTACGTGTTTTCGGTAAGCGAACATTGACTATTCTCTTTACTACGCATTCTTCTCAACGAAATAAAGAAGCCTTACAAAAGGTCAATGCAAACACCCAGGTATGTGTGTGTGTGCTTTGAAACCTTTTTGCGTGAGGCGCTCGAGTCAGGCGTGCGTGTAGGCGTTCGCTAGAATCGTGGGCGAATTTATTTTCCCGCAACGAAATTAACGTTTCAACCGAAGAAAGCGAGTGTTGCACTGCGGCAGGTGCAAGTAAAGGGCCAAAACGTAAGACAAAGCGCACTTCGTGCATTCGCCCACGTAAATTGGTTTTTCACTCATTCGGAATTTTATTGGACATTGCGGAGCTGCATTAGAAACCACAAATCGTCATTCTCGACTTTTGCCCAGCGCAAATATTCAAAATCGCGATTTGTGGTTTCTAATGTGAGTTCCAAAGATTAAATTCAAATAAATTTGTTTTTTTTCTTCCCATTTTACGCTTGCGAAAAAGTGACTTCGAGGAATTTTTCAGACTCCACTTAAAGTGCAGTCACTTTGAGCACACAACTGGAACCACAGTCAAGAACAAGCATTGATTAATTCGAAGCGACAGCAGCAGCCTCTAAAAAACCATGGATGTGAACGAATACCGACGACGGGGTGAGTAATAAAATGAAATTTATATATTTTTAAGCCAATTTGAATGAAACGAGAAACAGTTACAATAAATGGTGTGAACGGAAAACTGCCTTTGGAGCAGCTGGGAATAGAATTTGCACCCAAACTCCTATTAACTAAGTTCGCTCTGTGGGTGTCCACATATAAAAATTGCATTTGCTGCGTCAACGCTCGACAAACGGAGCTAGCCTGCTGCTGCGCTAACCCGTTATTCCAATTTTATTCGCATATAAATTTCAACTTAATTTAATTTGCCAATCCTTTGGCAAATGCAATAAAAATAACAATAACATATGCACAGTGTGAAAAGCAATGGAATCGTAAATGTTCATAAATATGTACATATGTGTATGTGTGTGTGATGGCTTTGTGTCTCATGTAAAATCATTTGGACATTTGCATTCCATAGTCTAAACTTTTCGTTTCGCTGGCATATAATCAGATTTTCAGAATTTCTTCTGACATTCGGTTTGCCTTCTCCACTTTTCCACTTTCACCCATCCCTTGTCGCTTGGTTCGGCCTCACTTAGCATTCTGTCTTGTTAGCCAGTTTAGCGAAAAGTACGTTTCATCATTTTTGATTTGTTCCGCGTTTATCCCTTTCGCACAAATTCGCAAAGTCCAACATTTATTTTGAAATACAAACTGAGCCCCATGAATCATTTCGAAATTTTAACTTAATGCAAATAAGCTGACTCGTTACAACGGCATGTGACTAATGAAATAAAGTGAAAGTATCTCTTTTGTATATTTAATCTTAATTTTTTTGATTTGCTGACTGCACATTACTTTGCAGTGCAAGCTCGTTTTTTAAGTATTTCATTGTTGTTGTGAAATATGGGTTTTAAGCGCACTCAATCGATGTTCTTTGGAATGCCACTCTTAAAAGTCCGAATTCAAATGCTGGTATTATATAATGTTGATCATATTTGAGAGGAAAGCTACAAGTTTCGATATTCAACAAATTTGTGGCAGACTCTTAGTGCTTTGTCGATTTTTGAGAGTCTTTTCTATCAGCACTTAGTAGTAGTTAGGTATTAAAATCAATCGGCGTACTCAGCTGTCTAAGTGGGAACCGCTTTTGGGTCGAGCTCTTAACCTAACCTAACCGTATTGGATCTCTAGTATAACTAAACCCTGAGTGCTTTTTGAAAATATGATAAGCGTACCGTATGAAAAAGTCCGAGCTAAGATGCAGCTATTCCCAAATAACAAAAACATCGTTAAAATAATGGAAATCGTCGAGCCTAACCGAAACATTCCAAATATAACCATAACAAAACAAAAAAACATTTGGAAACGTTTTAATAAGGCTGGATACAAAAAGAAGCTCGATGTAAGGGAATGAATCGAAGATTCATCTGAGCTTATGGCTGAATTTCAGTGAGCCAACACAAACGGTGGCCAAGCCTGGATGGACAAGAAGGTTTTGTTAAGTGTTTGGTCGGATGGGCAGTGAAATATCTACTATCAGCTGCACCATACTCCCGAACTCTTAATGAACGTCTGAATGAAGTCGTCGATCTGAACTGTTCAACTTTAGCCACAGGAGAGAAATTGTGTTTTATCGCTACAACGTCAGGGCACACACATCGATAGAGATTTACCTATAGCCCCAGAAGCTTGGTTGGGTCCGGACCTAGCACTTAGTAATCATTACCTATTGCAAATTGTTTTATTGGCGAAGCATTGTCTTCATGAGAAGATTGCTAAAATTCACGATCCCAGTTAGTTTTTTTTAGCAAAAAAGGGTGTTATTGAGAATGGCGTTATGAAATTACCTAACTGTTGGCAAGTTATCACAGAAACGGTGCCTAAAATCTTAAATAATAATTATAATTTTCAAAAAAAAAAAAAAAAAAAAAATTAAGACAGCTTACTCAACCCAAGTTCATTTATTTTTGTCAGGCAAAGAGATGGTGGACTATATCGCCGATTATTTGGAAAACATTCGTGATCGTCGCGTATTTCCCGATGTGAAACCGGGTTACATGCGCGGTCTATTGCCCGAGTTTGCGCCGATCGAAGGTGAAAATTGGGATGCCATATTCGCCGATGTGGAACGCGTCATTATGCCTGGCATAACACATTGGCAAAGTCCACACATGCATGCCTACTTTCCAGCGCTGAACTCATTTCCTTCACTTCTCGGCGATATGTTAGCCGATGCGATTAACTGTTTAGGATTCACTTGGGCCAGTTCACCCGCTTGTACGGAACTCGAAGTGATTGTCATGAATTGGTTGGGCAAAATGATTGGCTTGCCAGATGATTTCTTGCATTTGCATAATAAAAGTCCAGGCGGTGGCGTCATACAGACGACGGCAAGTGAAGCTACGTTGGTGTGTCTGCTGGCGGGACGCACGCGAGCCATTCAACGTTTTCACGAACGTCATCCCGGCTTTCAGGATGCGGAAATTAATGCGCGACTAGTTGCCTATTGCTCCGATCAGGCACACTCAAGCGTGGAGAAGGCAGCGCTAATAGGTAATTGTGCCACTCAGCTGAAATTTTAATCAGCTTACCAGCTAAATACACGCTCAAGCTCGCGCTCTTTCCATCTCATTTTAATTAATTCATAGGGCTCGTGCGTATGCGTTTCATTGAGGCCGACGACAGCTTGGCGATGCGTGGCAAGTCGTTGCGCGAGGCCATCGAGGATGACATTAAGCAAGGACTCGTGCCGTTTTGGGTAAGTCTACAAAAAAAAACCAAAAAAAAATAAATAAATAAGTAAATAATTTATATCCTATTAAAATTGTTTGAGCAAAAGAGCTTAGCAATTGAATTCCGTCACTTCTCTCAGTGAATGCGGTGACTATTCCTATTCACCGTTGTCCATTAAAGTTGACGCGCCTGCTCTTAGCTGATTGCCTGTTACCCCTTTGCGGCGGATCCCATTGGGACCAATTAATACTAAAGTCGACGAGAAGTAGATGAGTTTCACCGCTAAGTCACTTGTCGGCAGGCGGCACATGTCATGTGCCATACAAATTGCTTGGTATTTTGTTACAATGACTCTAAAGAGGATTAAATCTTACATTTGCTACCAGCATAGTAATCTCAGTGTTTTGCGCATTTCGCCGCAGAGTTGTTGGCATGAGCGCTGGTGAAAGGAAAATGGTAAGCAATAAACAATACAAAAATAAGCAACTGGTGTTTTTGAGAGAAGTGGTGCCCTCATCATTCAAAGGAAAGTGAAATGTTCGGTCTGATTTCATATTTGAACTAATTGAGCAACGTAATCTGTTCTACTCAAATGAGATATGTGTATGTGTATATGCATATAATGTAAACATATTGGGTAGCCGAAAAAGTATTTTCGTATTTCTATTCAAACTTCAACTTATTTCTTTTTTTTTTTTAATTTATAAAGAATTTTAATGAACCAAATATATACCATTTTGTCTGTCCGTCTTTTCTCGTTTGATTGCTTCAATCTCATCAGTTGTTGACAGTAAAATATAAAATCAATCCTTCGACCAGGCTGGTGCAGCGCATAGTGGATGATTCCTTTCCAATACCACTAAACACTCAGCATAACCTTTCGAGGCGTCAATCCTGGCTTTGCGACCATTTGTTGAGCTTCACCTCGCTTGAACCATGATCTTTTATTGTCGTATTGAATTCACTTTTCGTCTCCTGTTACCATTCGCTTCCATAAAGGTTGATTTCATTAAAATTTTCACAGACAATTCTTCCGGTACTCAAACATCGATTTTCTTTTTGTAGCCAGCCTTTTTGAAATGGTTCAAAACAGTTTGATGATGAATGTTAAGTTCCTTAGCGATGTCATGGTTGTTTATGTGCCGGTCCTGGCCAATCTTGTCCATAATTTAATAAAATTTTTCAACGATAGGTCGACCAGAGCGAGGTGCACCTTTCACATCGAAATTTCCAGAACAAAAGCGAGCAAGCCAGTGGCTTATATGGAATTCTTCACTTTTTTTATACGAAAATTTCAAAATATAGGGAACTTGTTCATTATATTCATTCATTTTTGAACAGTCTGAATTTTTTATCAACTTTTTATTTTGTTAAATGAAGCTTAACTTCTCACCTATCCAACACTATGGTATGACACAATGTGATTGGTAGCACAGCAGATATACGACTGTAAAGACATCTATTGACACAAAAACGAAAAGACTTTTTGCCTACCCATTTTTTCCCGTTCACAACATAGAAGGTCATTGTGGCTTTTAACAAATATTGCATCACCTGACGTTGTTGAGAAAGTTGATGCAATACTGAGGGCTGCTCTGCAGTGTATTCTGGCCAATATTCCCGCCGGTTTTCCTTTCTTAAGATATCAGCCAAAATCTATTATAATTTTCTCTTGTTTCGACTTTCTTACGTTGCCCATTAGTTTGCTAAGTGTAGGGATAATTTTCACTACCTGTGGGGCGCTGGATTTGTGCGCAGAAAGTTTATCAAGAGTCTAGTCTTACACCTAGGTAGTACGATTGTGTGAGTCAAGCTATGCTTGGTTCCGTATCAGGACGTAATTTAGCTGTCATCAGACTTCTTCTGCATCTCTTACTGTAATTACTGCTGCGATGTCGTCCGCGTAGCCAATAAAAACGGATGATTCCGCTATCTTTCTCTTGTTCAGTACAACAGTTTTCTATTACTAAGATAGCTGCGCAGCACAGCATTAAGGTAATCGGGGATTCTAAACTTTTTTTCTAGAGCCTCAATGTATTTTATGTTTATTGCAGAACGATCACCTGAGTGTTTTTAATAATCAGGACGACGCTATATGTTTCAGGTTTTGACCTATTTTCCAGATCTCTAAAAGTTGCGGAGAGACTTTATTTTTATTTACATCTCGATGATATTTCATTTCTCTCTACCTCCTTTTTGCATACTTTCTCGAAATATTTCTTTCAGGTTTGCGCCACGTTGGGTACCACGGGCTCATGTTCCTTTGACAATTTGGAAGAGGTACAAACCGATTCATTTCTCACACTTTGAAACTGCTACCAGTATTTACTATATTCTTATTACACGCAGATTGGTATAGTCTGTCGCGATTTCAATATTTGGCTCCATGTCGATAGCGCTTACGCGGGCAGCGCTTTTATTTGCCCCGAATTTCGCACCTGGCTGCGGGGCATTGAGAAAGCAGATTCGATCGCCTTCAATCCATCTAAGTGGCTGATGGTACATTTTGACGCCACGGCATTATGGTAAGCGATATTTCAATATAAGAACTCTATATTAAAGCGCACCTTCCTTTCCAATCTAACAACCACTTAAGGATTAAGGACAGCACCGCCGTGCATCGCACCTTTAATGTGGAACCACTGTACTTACAGCACGAAAATTCTGGGGTCTCCATTGACTACATGCATTGGCAGATACCGTTAAGTAGGCGCTTTCGCGCTTTGAAAGTTTTCTTCGTATTGCGTTCGTTCGGCATTAAGGGTCTGCAAAAGCACATACGCGAAGGTGTACGTTTGGCGCAAAAGTTCGAAGCGCTCGTTTTGGCCGACCACCGTTTCGAGATACCAGCTAAACGGCACTTAGGTAAGGCGTGGAAATTTAGAGTAATGTAACTGTAATAATAATGGGACTTCTTAAAAATTTAAAAATCTCAGGCATGGTGGTGTTTCGTATCAAGGGTGAAAATGAGATCACTGAACGTCTATTGAAGCGTCTCAATCATCGCGGTAATCTGCATTGTATACCTTCCTCTTTGAAAGGCAAATATGTCATACGATTCACGGTGACCTCTACAAATACAACTGTCGACGATATTTTGAAGGATTGGAACGAGATAAGACGCGTTGCGTCCATGATACTGGACGAAATGAACATTACAATATCGAATAGAAATAAAGTTTACCTAAAAGGTAAGTTAGGTATTTAAATATACTATTTTAAATGCTTACAGTAGTGTGGGAGCACAATCTGTAGAATTATTCGGCTTTGGTGAAAAAGCTGACATATGTGTGAACATGAGATGAGCTTATAAGAAATTTAGTGACCTTTGCGAAGATTCTTTAGATAAACGCCTAAAGGTAGCACAAAGAAAAACTGTAAGAAGGGCGAACTTATAAAGAAGCACAGTGGTTGTGCTGTCCCCGAAAAGAAGAAGTTAGGTTTTTTTATAAACGGCAGTATTTCTCCTGTAATATGGTCCTAAGTGCAACACGCATATAGAAAAGTCAAACCCGTAGACTCTTCACTATCTGGAGTACGGGGAAGTTGTATTATTCACCTTAAGGAACTTGGACGTCACAATCCCTAAGATAGGGGCATATGCAGGCAGCATTGCCATTTTAATAAGGGGAAATGACCACTTCTCACCATACACTGCAGAATTGGGCAAGGCAAGCGGGCTTGTGGTTGAATTTGAAGAAATCGAATCTGCTTATTTTCACTACTTACCTAAAAATCATGCCGACGGCGGTTCTTTCAGTGGTGCTGAACCTGCCGCCCCTAGACCTCTTTGCTGAAAATGTGCGGTGAAATCAGCCGGAAGGACAACATGGCTGCAGCAGAGTTTTCATATAGAACCTTCGTGCACAGCTCGGTTGATAATGACGGTTTGGCAAGCACAGACTACATTATCCCATTTTCCAGTTGGGAAAGAATGTGTGGTACCTTCACGCAACACATTTAACATATTAAGGTAACCTTTTGAGCTCATGGACCACCGCAATACACTTCAACCAGAGATCTTTGCTATTGGGAAAGTCACGGAGCAAGTCTCTCTTGCTTCAGCAGACAACTCCATAACTAACATCTTGTTTCGCATATTGACCAAAAGTGTTTAAGGAAGCAGGCCAGAAATTGAGAGTATCGCCAGGAACAAGCGACTTCATTTCTACTGGTTGACGAGAAGGCATAGAGTAGTGTGCGATTGTTACTAACTGAGGTTCAAAACTACTTGTCATGTGTAAGGCGGTAGATCAGAAATACACAAAGCTTCTATTGGTACTCGATAGAAGATGCTGTAAAAAAATTATTGAAATAATTACTGGTAACTGTCTGTCTGTTTTCTGACGAAAAAATTTTTATAATTGAGCAATTCGTACACTCTCAAAACGATAGGGTTTACTTGACCGACCGCTCATACGAGAATCTAAGTCATCAGTTGGCCACCAGGAGGCGGCACTCGCCACAAATAATGGTTTGAGCCGCTGTCACCGCAGATGGGAAGTGTTCTGGAGGCAGCTTTGAAGCTGTGGGCAAAAAAACATTTTGGTCGCAAACCATGGACGTTTCAACAAACTCAACACCGTCTCACAAAGTGCCAGTGATCCAAAAATGGCTGAAAAACAACGTTCCGAACTTCATGACGACCACACAATGGCTCTCGAGTTCACCGGATGCGAATCCAATGGATTATTCTCTTTGGGCCATTTTGGAGAACAAGATCCGAAGTAAAAAATATACCAGTCTCGAGATGCTGAAGAAAGCCATTGTCCGTGAATGGGCCAAAATACCGACAAGTCATATTCGAGCAGCTTGCGAATCGTTTTCTGACCTTCCCAAGACCATTGTTAAGGCAAAAGGTGGTCATATCTAGCAAAAGTGAATTGGTCCTGAATTTATGATTATTTCAAACATTTGGTACTTTAAAATAAATAAAAGTAATTTTCCAAACCGAAGTTATGCATTTTTTTAATTGGTTACACTTCGAGTGCCGGTTTATCTATGGGAATGTGCGAAATAACTAAGAACAGTTAGAGTGATGATATGCTAAAGAAGCTTTTCAATTTCCATTAAGCATTTACTGAACTCTGTTTACTAATGGCAATGAAGCGAGAAAAAATATATAAAACTCCTGAGATAAGAATCATTAATTGTAAGAAATGTCAGTGTAAGGCTAATTTATTGTCATATTATCAGAATTATACGAGGAGCTTTTAAAAATATAGGCAAATGTTTTAATACATCTCGCATAACCTTTGTAAATCCACAGATACGAAAGATAAAAGCGAAGCATTTGGCTCCAGTCTTTTGCTCTCAAACTCACCACTCTCTCCGAAAATCGTCAACGGTTCTTTTGCGGCCATATTTGATGCCGACGAATTTTTAGCCAAAACCTATGCTGGCGTACGTATTGCTGTAAGTTTCTACGAATTTATAGTTAACCAAAACAAATGCTAATATTCTATTTTCTTTCACCACTGGTTTGATTTGCACAGCACCAAGAATCGCCATCGATGAGGCGACGTGTGCGCGGTATACTCATGTCTGGTAAAAAATAAGTGGCCTTGTCTTTTATATTTATCTATATGACTTATCAACTGTAATATAAATAACGGTATCTCTATATCATTGCAAACAGGCAAGCAATTCTCACTTGACTCCCATATGGATGTGGTTGTGCAGAACTCCTTCGATTCGGGTACGAATAATTCGAGCACCGAGGCAAATGGCACGACAACACCAGTAAAAAAGAATAAAAATCCAAGCTCGATATGCGAAGATAGTGAAGAGTCCGCCGAAGGTATACCGTCAAGGTAGAGTAGTCAGCTAATCGCTTCCGCAAATGCTAAATGTTCTTTTTTACTTGTATTTGTATTTGTTCTTGCTATTGTTTGTATATTCCTCAAAGCTTCACCTGCAACGGAGTGTAGTGAAAGTCTGGCTTGATAAATACATAAATATATAATTATTTTAATTCAATATCGGTAAGGGTGCTACTGTAGGAAGTTTCTGTGGGTCCAAAAGCGAAAACTTCGAAGAAAACAATAAACATCAGATTTCTCTTATCATTAAAAGTATGCTACATTTTAGACGACATATATTTATTGAAGTATATGCTTTTAACATTTACAACATAACCTCACTCTGTTCGCACCCTTTACCGATCACTTGTACACTGTATTCGTGAAGTATTTAGTTTTACCAACGCACCTTGTTCAAATAGATTATCCAACGGTTAAGCGAACCGCAACGTCACCAAACTATTCAACCATGAAGATAGCGGCTGAATATCTCAGCCAAAATTCGAGCTCCGCTACAACGAACCTTGCATTGCCACGACGCAAAAGCACCGCCACGCAAACACCGCAACATCACTACAAACCGGTGCATACAATCTTGGATGAAGTCTCCGATGAGACGTCCGAGGACTTGCTCTCGGAGAAAAGTGTACGGGACAGCGCGAATGCGCAGCTGATGGCCGCTAGTTGCAAACTGCTTTTTGCAAACACACTACCAACTCTTGCCGCAACCTGCTCCACGGCGCCTGCCTCGCTGCGCACAACGCCATCACCGCCTCTACCAGTGCCGCAACAACAGCGCACAGGCAATAATAATAGCTTCACAAAACAAATGCAAGCGATTAGTAATGCGGCAAGCGCTTCAACACGCACCATCATGCGCGCCAACACCATGCAAGAGGTTTATCATGGTAAGCGTTACCTCGACACAGGCGTGGCTGTAGGTCCTTCCAACAATTACTTCTCCAACACCATAAACAATGCGAATACGCCTAGCGGCGGCACCACACCGACTACGCCGAGCACCGAAATACCGGACGCTGAGTCGCAATGGAGCGCGCTATTTCATAGTTTCGATACCGCGCCGGCGCCAGCAGTGCGCGGTGTGAGCTATTTGAGCGGTCGTCTACTCAATATGGACAGCGTTTCGGCGCGCTCCACTTCAACGCTGCCGAGTATTGATGAAAGCGCTTCCGAATGCATGTCTATCTCATCGACGTCCGCACCGGCGGACACGCTCAGTATGCCTGCGCAACTGTTGTCGAACCGACACAATGTAACACGCTTTTACAGCGCGCCCAACGCGCGGCCGGGCGCGCCGCCAGCGACAATGCCAAGCACGTTGGCGTCATTTTCGTTAAACGCTATGACACTCTCCGAGGACGAGACAGACGCCGATGCGTGGCAGGTGGCGCGTTGCGGCAGTTCGGAGGACTACTCGATCACTTCATCGGGTGCACAATCGCGGTCTTCGTCGTTAGATCTGGTTTGATTTTGGCTGCAAGCGAGCTATGGTGACAGTTTTAGTGAGTATATGTATGTGGTTTTTTGGGCTTTAGTTTATGTTGAGTTGGGTTTTCATTTGAGTTGGAAATGTAGGAAAAATAGTAAAATATATAACGGAACTGGAAATGCAATGAAATGAATTTGGAAAACGAGACACTAAAGCTAATGAAATATATGGAATTTGCAAATATTTACAAACACAAAATATTCAATATTTACTAATTAAAAAAACATATTTAAATAGATAATAATAATA